GACAGAGGAGCTCTTTGGAGACAGAGGCAACGGGAAGCTCCTCTTGCACCTGCCTGCAATTAATTAATTACGAATCCACTTATTAGCTCAGCCCCATGGCTCCCCTTGCTGCCAAGCCCCCAGCTGGCCAGGGAGCAAGCCATTATTTGAAAAGATTTCCCATTAAACATGAAAGTAAAGGAGTATTTCAAAGACAACGGGGCAGGAGAGACAGCGAGGGTGTGTGCACGATTGCAATCAGCTCTTGAGGATGTGCTGGAGCAGCTGGATCCCCATCTTGGAGCAGCCTGAGAATGGTGAAATCGATTTCATTAGCCCGCTCAGCCGCTGATTACTCTTGTGCCGCATGAAACACCCCTATGGCCCCCATTGCATGGCAAATGCACACAGGCACCCCCAGGCCCTACTCCAGCCTGCCAGCAGCCCACCCAAATGCAACCCCAGCTCATGCTAAAAAAGAAAACCCTAAAGATTCCAATTTCCTGAAGTAGGTACCTGCATTTTCTTTGTGCCCAGGTGGCAGCTGCAGCCCAGCTCTCAGGCTTTTAACCCAGGCAGTGCATGCATCTGCTTTACCCCCCATTTCTCTATTACCTGCTTTCTGCTCTTCGCTTTAGCAGAGATGCCTCTTTAACTGCAGTGATTTACAGGCGGTGTTATGGCAGGACAGGTCTGACACTGATTGAGTCGCTTATCTGCCGTCTCTGTCCTGCTCTCTGACAGCCTCTCCCCCAGGTATCAATCTGCACATCAGTTCTTTATTCCTGGGTGAGGGAAGAGCTGTCAAGGTTGCAGCTACACTGTCATCTTCATCTAAGCTGCTAGCTGCCCTTCATCACTTAAAGACCCTCTTTAATACACACATGCTTTGGGAGGGGGCCACCGCGTTGGAGATAAGGAGATGGCAGCAAAATTTCATTTGCTCTCAAGGCGCCCACGGCTTGATGGATTGGCTCTCATTTGTCAGGGTGCCCATAAATAAACAAGAGCTCTCATAATGTAGGTTCAGCCCCCCTACTTCTCCAGCCAGCTCCCTGCAGCCCCATGCTGGCTGCTGGCCACCCAGTGCAGGGAGACTGCAGGGTGCTGGGACCCCTCAAGATGCAACAGTCCCCCTGGGCCAGGGCCATCATCAGGGTGATAGGAGAGAGGATGGAGAAGACAAGTGCATGGGATCAGGCTTGGCTTTGGGGTTTGCTGGGAGTCCCCACTGCCAGATGCTCTTGTGACCTCCTTGGTGATGCCAAACCACAGGGAACCACAGCATCCCTGTCACTACCCTCCATCCCAGGGCCGTGGGACCAGGGCAGGGATAAGCTGGCACCCAGATCCTGCACCACAGTGAGGTGGCTAAGCTGGGACAGTCTGGCCCCCTGCGCACCCCTGAGGATGGCTGGAAGGAGGCAGAGAGGGCACAGGCTGCTCCCTGCATGGTGCCTGTGTTACTCCGTGCACTGCACGCAGTCACTGTCTGCCCCCCAAACCCTCCTCCCCTTGGTCAGCCATTACTGCACTTTGTGGTTGCACTGCAAAGCCTTGACTGCACCTTCCTGCTCAGCACTGAGCTGGTTTAGACCTAAATGATGTTTTTGCTAGCCTAAAACCGCACTCCTCTCTGGGATTACCAGCAGCAGCGGTGCAGGGTGGCAGGAAAGGATTTGCATCCACTTTCGGGTACGCACTCGGGTGCTGCTCTTGGGCCAGAGCAGCTTCCAAGCAGTGCCTGGCTCTGGGACGAGAGGCTGTGTCTGAGTGAGATGACGCATGTGTGCTCAGAGGCTATGTTAAAGCTCTCTGTCTCCTCGGGGTGACCTGAAGGGACGGGCAGCACACAGCACAGAAGCGCAGTGGGGATGGCCCTGCACGCCTCCTCCTGCGCCTCGGTTTCCCTGAGGTTCCTGGCTGCCCATAGCCCTCTCAGTTTGGTTTCTTTGTTGCTGTTCTTCCATAAACAAAAACCTCACTGAAACATAATCTCTACCATAATGTTTATTAAATAGTAATTTTAAAAGGTTTTTATACAAATCATATAAACACAGTTTGAATTTTGCTTTTTTTTTGCTTTTTTTTTTGTTTGTATTTTTCTTTTACACCGAAGAATCACAGTAAAAGCTCTTTTAAGTCCATAAGTCCTGGCTCAGCCAGTGAACGGTCAAACACCTTGAACTGCAAACCTTGGAGAAGTTCCATTTCTGCATATAATTTCTTAATGCTTTAATTCCCATGCTCAGCCCCGGTACCTTCCCACAAAATTAAATCACCCAGTACTACAGCCCGCCTGTCAGCAGCACGTCCTCACCATGGGAAGAGC